TTGAAGTGCATGCTGGGAAGGAATCAGTCCGACGGGGGGTGGGGGGTGTTTTGGGGTTTGATGACAACAGCAGGAAACACTAGCAGAGTCATTGGAGAATCTAAAAATAGAAAACAGAGGAAAAAGTAGGACAACCAGATCATCCACACCTCCTCCTCCTCGTCTTCATCTTTTTCTACTCTTCTTCCCCTCGTTCTCTTTTGCTTCGCTCCTCATCTCTCTCTCCTCATTCATCCTGCTTTTTTTAAGCTCCTTTTCCTCTTCTTGTCATCATCCTGAGGTTCTGGACATATTCAGCACACTAAGCAGCTTCCTGCGGTTCGCCGGCTGCAGTGAGGTGGTTCTGATCCGTAAAGCTGCAGCTGATCCGTCCTCCTGCGTGTGGTATCCAGTAAATCCATCTTGACGTGGAGGCAGTTCTTTACTGGCGGTGTTGACGAACTCTCTATTAGTTCTTGTAAAAGTAAAATTTTAAGGTGAAGCTGAGACCGACGCTAAAACAAGGTCGTTATTGTTAACGAAAACTAACGAAATAATGAAAACTAGGTTTAAAAAAATATTTTCGTTTCACTGAAACTTTGCAAATGTCTTTATTTTTGTCAGTTTATTTCATATTTCGTAAGCCTAGTATTTTGGTCCTTGTGTTCAACCATTGGAGGACTGGAAGTGAAGACCCTTGTATCTGCACGCCGCGGCATCGGCCTTAACATTTTCTTAAAGCTTTTTAAAATATTGAACCAGATGTTTTGAACTTGTGTAACTCTGAAAACAGCTTTTAAAACACTGCTCAGTCATCAGAACAAACTTTCCTGTGATTGGCGCTTGTGTAGTTTTTGAACCGGGGCGGATTCACGATCCACCAGCAGCAGCCACACAACCCACGCCACCCCTGATGGAAACAGGACTACTGAACAGTGTTACAGGAACTGTAGGAAAACAGAACAGGAGGCTAGAAGGAGTTTTCCACTGCAGAGGCTCTTTGCACAACATGGAGGAGAAACTAGAGTGATATTCTAACATTAGATAATTTAATCTAATAGTATACTGGCAGTGTGTTAATGTATAAATAGTAAAATTTTACTATATGTAGGATATTGTCATTTTATGTAATAGTACACTATACAGCCTCCCACTAGTCTAAAATTAATTCCAGTTGGACAAAACAGCAGTTTCATGTTTTCAGTCATTAATTTGTTAATGCTGCTGTCTCATCAGTAGTCACAACCATTCAACATTTAAAAGTTTACTGTAGCGCATCAAACCATTTCTATGTCCCGCCCCATCCAGGCTGTGATCGGTCAGTTGACGAACAGTGAAACTGACGAGCTCATCGATTTTATAAAAAGTTGATCATTTTTCAACAAAAGGCACCTGATATTGCTAACAGCCAGATCGCCAAACCAACAACCTCCTTATCTTCCCCCGGTTGTCTTCTGTCTCGCCGCTCCAGCTGCTGACATCTTTGTAACGAGCGGCCCACCGGGAACTCTCATTTGATTTACACCAGCTTTGCATCGCGTCCTGCCCGCTACCAGGGGCGGGATGTTTTTAACCATTAGCGGCGCAGTGCAGCGCGGCGAGCAGGGTGGGGGGGGTTATTGTAGGTTGTATAGTTATGGTTGTTACTCGCACATTTTGCTCGTAAATCATTTTTCCGGTTCGCACGGATCGATTTTTAGGGGCATATGCGAGCAAAATGGTCGCACTGTAGAGCCCAGAAGGGGCGCTGGATTTATACTCTAGCTGGCGGTGAGGTTTACAATTGTCACTGTTCTGACTTGGTGAGCTGGCTAACTTCCACTTTCACCCTCCGCTTACTCGAATGAGGGTAATCTATGAATCGTGCAGCTCTTCTAGGCTTTCCAAATGTTATCGACCGAACTTCTGAAAGCGAAACGAGCCATGTCGCGGGAGCTTGGAGAAAATGCAACCAGCCAAAAACACTGGTCATTTATTGAAAGGCCGGGACAGAAAAGTTTTGTTTTGTGTCGTGGGAAATATACTGTTATGGTGCTAAAGGTGCTGGAAAAAATTTGGGCGCACGTATATTTTGTGGCCGTGCACCTAAATGAAAAATGTAGGCGCCCCAGTGCAACTAGTGCAAAAAGTTAGTCTGGAGCTCTGCAGTGGAAGGTGAGGAAATATGTGCAACAATTCTCACGTCCATTTGAAAAGCTCACGCAAGAAGGGAAACCTGGCTCACCTCAAAACTTCTCAGAAGTGGATTAAGTGATGAAATTCCACATGAAAACTGTAAAATATTAAACTTCCTGCTGCTGGCCTCTGTCTGGTGCAGCAATGATGATGCAGTGAATAGTGACGATTCTCTCCGACCAATCAGCAGCCTGCTGTGTTTTCACGTCACATTTTAGTATCGCCTCAGCTCGACTGGAACCTCGACAGAGGTGATACGAGAAAAAGTACCTGGTAGCAGGTACAGGTGCAGCTTTTCAACAGAGTGGAGTCGAGCTGGTACCGTGCGGTGGAGAAGGGGCTTTAAATTGTACAAAGTTTTGTTGAGGTTTTATAACACAATACTTTTTCTGACCTTATTGAACCTCGCCCCTGACAAAAAGACAAAGTGACACTGAAGCTGATAAAAACTAAACTAAAATGAAGCAGTTTCAAAAAAAACAAACAAATTTAAACTGAACTTGAAAACAAAAAGTCAAAACAAAATAAAAACTATTAAAAAATGTAAAAACTTTAATAACCTTGACCTGATCGACTCTTACAAAGACAGAAACAGCTTCTTCTCAGATTTTAACTGTCCGTTTCCTTCTGAAACGCCAGGTGGCGCACAGCGGATGGATGGCGGAACACTTGGCGATAAAAGCGAGTGCCAGCAGATATTTTTGAGTTTCTGTTTCTCGGTTGGTTAAAATGTGGATCTTCTGCATCTTCGGCCCAAATTTGTTGTCAGGCCGGTGCTTTCTAACCATCAGTAAGTAAAAACTGCTTGAGTGACGAATCAGTAATGAGGCTAATGAGCTGTTCCTCACGGCTGCAGGTTACAGATCGCCCTGGGGAGGAAGAACAGCTGATTCAGGGTTAAATTAGAGACGTTGAAGCAGTAAGTGGTGAGTGTTTGTGTTCGTGGGTCTGAACACTACATTTATCTCACAGGCCGCTCGGGCAGAAATAGAGACGAAGGAGTGTAAAAATAGAGAAGCAGCGGCTGATCACGCCTCGCAGCTGCTGACACAGAAACAAACAGCCCGATGCAGATCAGGGTTAGTGGTCCAGTCTGCGGCCCGTCTGCGCGGCCTCACGCCGCCAAACCTCCCGTCAATTAAAAATTAATTTCCTGCTGACCTTTTTTCCGCCGCTGCTCATGTATAATTTCACAACTTTAATTAGCTGAACTGGTTCAGACAGACTGACTTTCAGACTTCAGCTGGTTTTAGTCTGCAACTTCCCCATAAAGCTCCCAGATCACCTGCACACAACAGGTGCCCCGAAAAAATATAGAATATCCTGAAAAACGTCCTTTCCTCCTGTAATTTAAGTCAAATATATATTTATATATATATATATATGAAAAACTTTCCCGAACAAGAACTTTCACATTATTTGCATTCTTTTTTTTCCCCCTGCATAAATTAAATAGAGAGCTCTGATCAGCTTATTAACTCGAAACACCTGCAAAGGTTTGCCCAGACTTTAATCTCTCAGTCCAAAGTCCTCTTTTTAGATGAAAGTTTCATTTGGAAGTCCGGGTCCCAGAGTCTAGAGGACGAGCGGAGAGGCACAGAGTTGCTTGGAGTTGAAGTTTCCACAGTCTGATTATTTGGGTCCTCTGCTGGCCCACTGAGTTTTATCAAAGCAGCGTGACTTTAGAGCACTTCATGCTTCACCTGCTGACAGGCTTTATGGAGATGCTGATTTCCTGTTCCAGCAGAACTTGGCACGGGACCAGAACCACCAGGAGCTGGTTTGCTGACCATGGTGTTCCTGTGCTTAAATGGCCAGCCAGCTCGCCAGACCTGAACCCCATAGAGAATCTATAAGCTTCAAGAGAAAGATGAGAGACCAACAACGCAGACAAGCTGAAGGCCGCCATCAAAGAACCTGGGCCTCCAGAACACCTGAGCAGGCTGGTTGCCACCGTGATGCAGTAATTCATGCAACAGGAGCCAAGTGCTGAGAGCATAAATTAATATTCTTCAGAACTTTTCAGAAGGTCGACATTTCTGTATTTTACATTATTTATTCTAATATTTTAAAACATGGATTTTTAATTTCCATGAGCTGTAAGATGAATTTATCCAGATTAAAACACAAAAAAAGGCTTGAAATATGTGACTTTATGTGTAATGAATGTAGAAAATATGAAAGTTTTGAATTAAATTGGTGGGGAAGTTAAACTGATGATGTTGGATCACAAAACGTGGATCACATGTTCCCACAAAGAAAAAGTTGACGGGTTCGGAAACTTGTTCAGAACGCAGCTGGTTTCTGATCAGCCCAACAGGACTCATGTCCCTCCACAAGTCAGTGACCTCCACCGGCTCCCCGGGGCCTCCAGAATCCAATCCAAGTCCCCGATGCTGCACTCAGAGTGACTACTGGGTCTGCAACTCCATAATACAAGCTTACGTTCCTTCTGGGCCTCAGACCGTCAGGCTCAGGGAAAAGCAAGTCGTTAAATGAACGGCTCAGATTGACACACCCGGGCTTCTGTACTCTGTCTGCATGAGGCAGCTGTGCTGCAGCCGACACCGTTATACACTGTACTGAACTGTCTTTTATTTTCTCAGTTTGACCCATTTCAGTGAAGTTAAAGGAAGAATCTTGCACTCTGCTGCTTTCAGAGGAAACTGAAATGTATTTTTACCTCGTGGTCGTATGAAGCGCCTGTTTGTGATTGGCCGGCAGGTGGTTAGGATCTGTAGGTAACAGCTCTCCGTCACTGACCCAATCTCCCGCTTGTGTGTTGTTTTGTGCTGAAAGTCGCGTGACACACGCTGAACGTGTTGTTTCTGTGTTGTGGTCCGCAGCGCCCCCTACTGTGCGCATCGTGCACTCAGGTCAGACGTGTAACGTGGAGGAGGAGCGCTACAGCGAGAGAGTTTACACCATCAGAGAGGGCGAGACTCTGGAGCTGCAGTGTCTGGTGACAGGACACCCCCGACCTCAGGTAACAACATGCTGGGTACACTGGGAACTCTACTGGGTACTTATACTGGTTTCACAGGTCAAAATGTACAAAAACCGACTTGGTTTTGAATCGAAATAATCAAAGAACGAACCGCACACGGGTTATTTTCTCTTAGAGACTTTTGTTTCCAGCAGTTTAGACAATAACGGCTGTGTGATGTGTTATTTTGAGGGGACAGCAGATTTACACTGTTATACAAGCTGCTCACTACTTTACACTGGAGCAAAGTGTCATTTCTTCAGTGTTGAAGCATAAAGAGATATAGTCACATGTTGTGGGAGGGGTGCACTCACTTTGTGAGATACTGGATGTGTACATACACGACAAAATCACAAATGTAGAAGCGACTGGAAATAAACAGCGAGTTAAAACGGTGAAACCAGGATCACTGTTAACCAGAGAAAGTTATTTTATACACGTGACGTCTTCAGCGTCTTTGTAGCCGATTAAAACACCAGAGAAACATGATGGAGAGTGAAGCTGCAAAAGAGCAGGAAGTGAACACACACACACACACACACACACACACACACACACACACACACACACACACACACACTCTTAATCCCTACTGACTCTGCAGAGCACATACAGTAATAAAACCTCCCATCATCCCCGGCGGCATGCTGTAAGTGCCAGAGCTCCCGCTGAGCTGAGCTGCTCCGACGCCTTAATGTTTCATAAGTGAGAGCAATTTCACAGAGAAGAAGAGGAAGAGGAGGAGGAAGAAGAAGAAGCAGAGGAGGAAGAGGAGGAGGAAGCAGAAGAGAGAGAAAAAAGAGGAAGAAAAGTAGAAGAAGAAGAAAAGGTGCGTTCGAGATGGCTACGGCTGACTTTCGCAGACTTGACAGTCTAACGTGACGTGAGCTACAGGCGTGCTATAAAAAGTCGGACACATTCTTCCTGCGTGAGCTCAGATCAGTGAGTCATCTTGCAACATTTGCAAAGTAAAATGTGCCGCCGGAGAAAAGCAACTGCAGCCGCTTTGCTCCTGCGAGCTTTTAATGTCACGTGACATGGCGAAAAGTCGGACACAATTTCTCACCAGCGTGCCTTACTGTAAGTCCAGCATGCATCAGGCGAAGTCAGCGCTGCGCAGCGCCGCGTGAACTCAAACGCACCCGAAGAAGAGGAAGAAGAGCTGCCGCCACCGTCTGGGAACGAGAAGAAGCAGACGGTAGAAGAAGAAGTGAGAGCTGCCGTCGTCATTAACGTTATTAAGATTTAATATAAACAACTCCTTAAGTTCCTTTTTTGTTTCTTCCAGATTTAAGTTTCACTGTATGTTTTGTTCTTGTGCAAATAAACCTTTCGTTTGTTAAAAACCTTTCTTGTTGTTATTTTCCAGAAACACTTTAAATAAACGTGGACAGCTCGCTCTATCCATCCGAACCTGAACTTTACATGCTGCGTTTACTTCACTGTGTCGGAGAGAAAGTGGGACAAAATGAAGCTCAAAGTTAAAAATCCCGTGTTTTAGAGTGGAACAGAAACGGCGTGAAACGTGATGGTCGGGGAGTTTGCCGCCGCTGATGTTTATTTCCCAGCAGCTCGTTAAAACCTCTGCTGCGGGCTGGAAGCTGCTGCTTAATTAACTGTCAATTAACTGAACGCTTAAATATCACCAGAGGAGGTTTAACCGCTCCTGAACACACACACTTAAAAACGGTTTTAACTTCAGTTCTCAGTCCCGTCTTGGTGGCCATCTTTGACCGAGTCATAAATATCAGAGCTTTCCAGTTGCTCATTACTCCGATGTTGGAAACTTGGATGAAACAGTGGAAACTCAGACTAGACTGACTTATTATTATTATAATAATTATTATTAAAAAATTATTATTATTCTCATTGTTTGTTATTTTAGTAATTGTTCCTTTACTGTTTTATTTACTTTATTTTTAATATTTATTTGTATTTATTTATTCTTTTTTAACACACACTTTTACTGTTTTTATTTATTTATTTTTATTTTTAATATTTATTTTTATTATTTATTTATTCTTTTTTAACACACACACTTTTACTGTTTTTATTTATTTATTTTTATTTTTAATATTTATATTTATTATTTATTCTTTTTTGACACACACACTTTTACTGTTTTTATTTATTTATTTTTAATATTTATTTTTTATTTATTTTTTTTTGACACACACACTTTACTGTTTTTATTTATTTATTTTAATATTTATTTTTATTTATTTATTCTTTTTTGACACACACTTTTACTGTTTTATTTATTTATTTTTATTTTAATATTTATTTTATTTTTTAACACACACTTTTACTGTTTTATTTATTTATTTTATTTTTAATATTTATTTGTATTTATTTATTCTTTTTTGACACACACACTTTTACTGTTTTATTTATTTATTTTTATTTTTAATATTTATTTGTATTTATTTATTCTTTTTTGACACACACTTTTACTGTTTTTATTTATTTATTTTTATTTTAATATTTATTTATTTTTTAACACACACTTTTACTGTTTTATTTATTTATTTTTATTTTTAATATTTATTTGTATTTATTTATTCTTTTTTGACACACACACTTTTACTGTTTTATTTACTTTATTTAATTTTGTAATTTATTTGTAGCTTTGACAATATTGTTTTACATTCAATGATTCCTCACGTACGAGGAACGAGTCCCGGTGTAACAGAAAACAGAGCTTTTAGAATAGAAATGTGGAAAATATCCAGTTCAGGTTAGATCAGCGTCTCTGTCCTCCACTCTTCTTCTTCTTCTTCTTCTCATGCTGCCCCTCCTCTTCCTCCTCTCTCCATCATCATCATCATCATCTCTCTGTAGTCTCTCTGCTGTCAGAGTGTCCAGGCTATAAATAGAGCTGCTGCTGGCACACAGTCTGAATCCACACACACACTTTCTCTGCGTCACTGCAGAGCTCAGCTTCACCGCATCTTTTCTTACATCCCCTCTTCTTCTTTAACACCTCGCTCGCTCTCGCTCGCTCTCTCTCTGCATCCACACTACTACGTTTTTTGTAAATAGATCTCCGTCCACTCCAGCGTTTTAGCTGTGTGTCAGAATTGATCTCCGTCTCTATTAAAACAAAGACACATCACGTGACCGTTCACCTACAGATTTCTCTGCTGGAGCGACAGCGAGGTGGAACCGTTACTGAAAGCAAAGAGACGGTGGCGGCGGGAAACAGACTGGGAGGCGACGCAAAGCACAGTACAAAGTATTTTAATACCAAAACTAAAACTCTGTCAGCAGCATCGTGTTCCTGCTTTGGTAGCCAATCAGGAAGCCAAACGTGAGCGTCATCGTTTTCACCTGTCGGCACTAACGCGCCGCCCCGGAGGTTAAAACCAGACAGTGAAGTCTGAAATGGTTTGCACTGGTCAGACTTGACCGTCTCGGTCCGGACGGGAGGAAACATCGCAGAAAGTGTCAAAGTCCTTACAGGCAAATCCCGCCACTCGGCCGCCATCTTGGCAACGGTATTATAACATGACCAGGCTCCTGTCTGAAAGAATGGGCAGAGAGCCAGAGCTGCACTTTCACGGGTCACCAGGACATAAAATCTGAAAAAATAGCTGAAAAACTTTGATGACTTTGCCCCAAAATAAGGTCTAAAAAGCGTTTTTCCCGACCGGTTTTACTTCTACCAGGCATGCGCAGTAGAAGTAAAACAGACTCTTACATCAGTGGAGCCGCACGATTGGCTGAAATATGTTTCCCGCATTGGCTGTTAAAAGCAGACGATTGACTTTGTAGCGGGAGGGGCGGGATAACCGCCATCTTTGCCGTCACGGGCTGTGGGAGCGTGGATGGAGCCTCTCGCTCTCGTTGACATCACGTCATTAACAATAAAGTTTTAACATTCAGGCCCTGTCTACGCGAAACCGTGACAGAAACGCAGCACCAGGTCACCGAATTTTTTCCAAGCCGTTATATGGCGGGCCAGAGCAAAGTCAAACCGTACGAAATCATGCACGCGTTTAGCTCAGTCGTGAGTCTGCGGGTAGATAGCGAGATCGATTCCATCTTTTCTCCCTTGTTAAACAAATTGAATCAAAGGACACTTTTGCACATGCTCACAATAAAGCATGCGCTGCAGCGTGTGTGCGGCGTTTGATCCGCATTCATAAACCTGTGGAGGCTTATTTTCATTTCCCTGAGGAGATTGAGGGGAATCAAATGACACGTTTACCGAAGGCGTTTTCAATGTGCTTCAGAACTCTTCAAAGTAAAAGCTCTTAATAAACTTGACATAAAGCATTTCTGCAAAAGACGTTCTTGCGTTTTTATTTTAGAAGCACAATCACTTTTTTCGACACCAGTCGCTAGAGCGAGTGCGCAGCCGTTATCCGCTGTGTTTGATGTCAGATTGTGCACCGCTGCCTGCTTTGTTTACGATTTCCTTCGGCTCCGATTGGCCAACGTGGCTTTAAGGTTAGGGTCGTATCGCCGCCTTGGCTTTTCATGTAGTAAGACATTTTTTTAAACGCAAGGAGTAAAAACTCTGTTATGATAATAACACCCGTCCACCTGTGTGGACGAGAAAATGGTTTTAGTCTGAAAGCGAGGGTTGGAGATCGAGAACCGGTTCCAAGGTGGAACCAAATTTCCTACAGCGTGGAGGTGATAAGACCCGTGCGTTTGGATTCTGCTTATCGGTTCCTAACTTGTTGCATATTTCAGCTCCTGACTGAGCTGCAGTGAGAATTTTACAGTCCATAAAATCTCTCTTACCTGCCAGCAGCTGCTCGACATCAGTGCTGCATCCTTAAAAGCCGGTCTGATATTTTCTCTTCCTCGTCTTCTTCCGTCTCTTCACCGAGTTTGCTTCTTCCAAAGAACAATAATCACTTGTTGCTGCTTCTAACAGCTTGCAGAACAGTGATTTAACGCCGTTGTCGCGATCAAAATGTTTGCGTCGGAGTGGTAACAACAGATCAGCCTGTAGCACATCAGTGCAGCGTCAAAATGATATGATGATATTTTAAGATAAAATTACCACATAATGATGCTTTAAGTTGTGGCGTTTTGAGCTCTCAGGGCCACCGTACCGCCGTTGGTCACTGCAGTCTAACACAGCGGGCCTGTAATAAATCAGTAAATGTAGAGCTGCGATCAGTAAATCAGATTTATTTGGTTCTGGACTGTTGGTTGAATAAAACAAGCTCGGCCGCAGGGCATTTCCTGTCAGTTTATAGATGAAATAAATAAATAATCATTAGCTGCAGCGCTGCCTGTGCAGAGTGATCAGACACTTCAACACAATGAACGTTCTGTTATAGTGAGGGAGGATTTTTTCCGAACACACATTCACACCTGCGTCTCTAGTGACAGTGAACGCAGCACATTAGCTCCTGGTGTTAATTAGTCTGCCTGTTTCAGGTGGGACTGAATGACAGAAACACACAGAGGGAAGCTGTCAGCTCACCTGCGCTTTGTACTTTCTTCCTGTTGGACTAGTCGGTAATGTTGCTCTGTCTTGAGCAAGAAATAATCGATTTCTATACATTTTCCCTCTTGTTTAATGGCGTACAGAGTAATTATTATAAACAACGGTCCTGTTTCCATCCAGATGTGCCCGGACTTTACAATCAGGAACGGTGCATCGCTCACGTGACGTTCACAGTGTTGCTGCCGAGTGCACAAGATCAGAGAACGCCGGCGAACGGGTCTTCTGTCTGTGCGTGAGGTGACTCCCTTAAAGAAAGAGAAGAGGACACTTTATAAACTTTGTGAAACGCTAAATCCTTATTTGTTCCCTTTTGTAAATTCGACTAATGTAACACACAAAGTTATGTGTTTGTATAAAACAGTGTTAGTTTGTCCTGGCGTGTTGCAGTACCGGCGTGTTGCAGTACCGGCGGGTTGCAGTACCGGCGTGTTGCAGTACCGGCGTGTTGCAGTACCGGCGGGTTGCAGTACCGGCGTGTTGCAGTACCGGCGGGTTGCAGTACCGGCGTGTTGCAGTACCGGCGGGTTGCAGTACCGGCGTGTTGCAGTACCGGCGGGTTGCAGTACCGGCGCGTTGCAGTACCGGCGGGTTGCAGTACCGGCGCGTTGCAGTACCGGCGGGTTGCAGTACCGGCATGTAAGCTCCTCTCTCACTGGGTAAATGATATGTCTTGTTTCTCGCACCACACACTCAGTTATTTCTGACATGTTTGGTCCATGACAGGATTCGATTTCAGTGGAACTTCATGTTGCTGCAGCAGAAACGTTAACTTCTTACCATTCCTGTAAAACGCCAATCCCAGGCAAGCCAACAGTAAACTGAATGCAGCCCTTGAACCAGTTGGAGAATCTGAAAGAGAACAGAACTGCAGAACACTGCAGTGTCTAACAGTCAGCATCACTGCAAGTGATGAGTGCAAGTTTGAACAGACTTAAAGCAATACATATTTCATTTCCGCACCTGCATGCCATGAGCTGGAAAACACTGTGGGGCCACAGCGGAAAGCCTCACCTAGTCCAACTTTTAATTTTAGAGCAATACCATTTACACAGGTTTTGATAAGGGTAGGTCTGAGCTACAGGAAGCGCCAGTCATCCGCACAGTTGGCTCGGCCTGCCCAGGAAATAACAGGGGCCGGCCCTTCCTTACAGCGCGGGCTCTCATTGGCTGTTGGAGGCTGTGAAAGGGACATGTGAGCGCCTATTGGGTCGGATTTGGTGTCAGAGTTCCAAACTGGAGTTATTCCGGTTATAATGACCTATCAGGTGCGCCTACCTGCAGCCGTCTCTGAGGATTTCCTGATGGAATAATATGTTTCGGACTAAATGTTTTACTAGATTGGATCGTCTGGACCTTTGACAGCGTAACAAGACCGTTTCTGTTGGAATATAATCCATCGGTGGATGAAGTTACTGTGAGGCTTCGTCGGTGAGTCGCTTTCGCTTGTTCCCGGCTGGTCTGACGGAGGCGCTGATTGGACGCGCTGTGGTGACTGTATCTTGAAACGGTTTGCATTGGTCGGATCACGAGGATTTCACAGCGACCTGCGCTGCACGTTTACCGCCAGACTGAAACTTGACACCAGACTGATTTTTAGCCATTTGTCAATCAATTCATAATCTTCCACGTCGTCGATGCATCTAAGGATTGATTGTTTGTCCCTAATGAGCACACAGCTGCTACGTTAACGTCATACTGTTTGATCCACCGTTTAGTTTCGCCAACTGCTGGAAAAGCGAGCTGACCTCTCCCTGTACCAGGACCTGCTCTCTGTCCCCCACACCAGACTCCAGAACCTTCAGCGTCACAGCCCCCCCACCCGTCTGGACCTCATCCCCCCCAGAGATCCGAAATGCTCCCAACAACCCAGCTCTTTAGCAAGAAATTCACTCCTGAATGACTTTATGTTGTTCTGTAACTACGTGTAAAGCCTCCTTGGGTCCCGTGAAAGGCGCTAAAAATATTTATTTATTTATGTAACGTTAAATTATTAACAGAGTAATATTCATTAGCTCAGCTGTATGTCGTCAGTACTAACCTACATACTTGTCCAGGGTTGAGAACATCGGGTACGAGCTCAGACTGAACTGGTGTGCAGCTCTGTCCTGTTCACAGACTGAACATCCTGATTATTAGATTTCAGTTTGCAGAGTCTGACAGCTGGTTGTTGAAGAAATGAGCTTAATGAACTCAATTAGGGACACAAACTAGTCCTTTTAAGCTAATTAGGAGAAGTTTCTTTAGGGTTTTAATGCTCAAATTAAATGCTTAGTAATAATCCAGAGAAGCTGTATAGAAAAAATGATGCCTCGATAATCGTTTTATAATCAAATCGTGAGGCGCCCAGAGATTCCCTCCCCTAGTGCGCAATACTGAAGGCTGCCGCCAGGACCAGAGAGCCCGCAAAACAGTTTTGTTGCTCCTTTGAGGTGGTTTTTGTGGAAAAAGAGTAAAGGCGCTAAACGGGAGCTGGAAAGATGTCTATGAAGATTCTCAGTCATCCAGGTCATAGTAACAGGAGCTGGAAACACTTTTTCTGAATAAGTTCTGACGTAGCGAACTCGTAACTCACGTCTGAACAGCTGTTTCTGCTGTCGGCGTCTCGTCCGGCTGTGCAGAGTTCTGCACGCCTGCTGAGAATTTCCTGCAGCTCGCGGCCGGTGACGCTCATTTGTGACGGAAACGCACAGATTTCACAGTTTCTATATTTGTTCTTTTTTGGCACAGGCCTAAAACAACCTCGAGCTTAATTTAAAAGCTGGCAGCTTGATAAGAGGCCTTGTGTAATATTGTGATTAATAATCTAAATAGACGTTATTGGTTTTTGATCAAAAGTAATGCGATCATAACAAACACACATGTGCAGCTGTCCTTATCTACACTGAATTACACATCTAACATTATGTTGCTTTAAATAAACATCTCCACCACTTTGACAACACATTGCGTTGTTTATTTCATTCTTAGAAAACAAAGCAAGTACAGAAACGTGGTGCAACAACAACACAGGAACTGTTTCCAGGGGCCCTGAAAGGTGCTTGTTGTCGCTGTGGTTTGTGACTCGTGAAGTTGTCGCAGTGTTTTGTCTCTTTTATATGTGAGCGTACGAGAGCTCAACACAGATACAGTGGCGTCGTGTTAATTAGACGCCGTGCGGAGAGCGTCGTCACACGGATCCAGGGTCTGTGCACGGAGACTATTTTTAGCTCTGTAATCGTCAGGTCGCTGGTTTTGGGGCTGTTAACCGTCTGCCTGCACAGACGGATAAAGAGTCAGCCTCGCTCCAGCTGGCAGCGGGGCGACCGACATGTGGGAGGACTGTACCATGGGAGAGAGGGGGGGGGCAGGTGGGAGAGAGAGAATCAGGGCAGGAAAAATGCTGATGGAGGCGAGACTGCAGGTTTGGTTTCAGAACAAAGTTTGAAGGCTGTGAAAACGTCTCTGTGCTTCCTGTAAGTCTGTTATTTAATCTACTGAAAATCACATTTCACATTAACTTTCATGGAGATGGATTTTTCACCTCGTCGTTGCTGCTGCTGCTGCTGTTGTCATGTTTTGTCTAGTTTTATTGCTACTGTGGCAAATTGAATTGCCCCTTAGGGACAAATAAAGACTGAAACTACACATTAAGTCCACGGATCAATAAGGATTTTTCTAAAAAAATATACAGACGAGGGCACAGAGGGTTTTCCTTTCAGGGCTCTGACCCAGTAACCTCCACCAGCCAGAGCGTTAGGGCAGCCTGCACGTAGCCTGAGAGGCGAAACCCAGGGCGGGAAAAGTTCACAAACTGAAAACAGAGGAAGACTAAAGTTTGAGGGCTGGAGGTCTACTAACATCTGGACATACAGAGCAGATGGTAACAAGAAACGACAACAAGCGTCTAACATCTAAAACATGTCAATATTTATTTATTTGTGCTGCCTTTTCAGTTGTTTACAGTCCGCTCCAGATTAATGATTAATCAGTAATTAAAAACAAAAATCCCTGGTTGTTTTCTATCTGAGAGAGAGGGGGAGGGAGACAGATGGAGGAGGAGGAGGATGATGATGGAGGAGAGAGGAAGGGACAGCTGGTGGGAGGGGCGGATGGAAAACTGACCAACAGATGCAGAACGAGGACAAATCTGGACCACACACACAGACAGACGCTGCCTCTGGGCTCGGTACTGAACCCAGAGTCTGGCTCAGAAACAGGAAATTGTTCAGTTCACTCAGATAAGAATTAAAACCTGAAAATCAGGATGACTCACCTCTTGAAACTGGTCAAAACCAGTTTAGACCAGTTTAAACTAAGACCTGTCCAAATCGGTTTAAACTTTTCTAAACCAAATCCATTTAGTGGTCCAAACCAAACCCGTTCAAAACAGTGTAAACTTATCTACACTCCAAACCAGTTCAACTGGTCCAAACCAAATCAGTTCAAAACAGTGTAAACTTATCTACACTCCAAACCAGTTCAAACTGGTCCAAACCAAATCAGTTCAAAACAGTGTAAACTTATCTACACTCCAAACCAGTTCAACTCCAAACCAGTTCAAACTGGTCCAAACCAAACCAGTTCAAAACAGTGTAAACTTATCTACACTCCAAACCAGTTCCAAACAGTGTAAACTTATCTACACTCCAAACCAGTTCAAACGGGTCCAAACCAAACCAGTTCAAAACAGTGTAAACTTATCTACACTCCAAACCAGTTCCAAACAGTGTAAACTTATCTACACTCCAAACCAGTTCAAACTGGTCTAAACCAAACTAGTTCAAAACAGTGTAAACTTATCTACACTCCAAACCAGTTCAAACTGGTCCACACCAAACCCGTTCAAAACAGTGTAAACTTATCTACACTCCAAACCAGTTCAAACTGGTCCAAATCAAACCAGTTCAAACTGGTCTAAACCAAACCAGTTTAAACTGGTCCAAATCAAACCAGTTCAAACTGGTCTAAACCAAACCAGTTTAAACTGGTCCAAATCAAACCAGTTCAAACTGGTCCAAACCAGTTTAAAGTGGTCAGTCTGCTGTGTATAATAACCCCCCCCCCCCCCAAATCTCTGTGCAGATCCGTTGGACGAAGACGGCGGGCGGAGCCTCGGACCGTCAGGGCGACTCCTCGCTGCTCAACGAAACTCTGAAGATCGATAACATCAGCCGCCACCAGGGGGGGCGCTACTACTGCAAGGCAGACAACGGACTGGGATCCCCCGCCATCCGGTCCATACGGGTCGACGTCTACTGTAAGAACACACACACACACACACACACACACACACACACACACACACACACACACACACACACACACACCGGTTTTCCTCCCACTTTAGTTTCCTGCAGCGATCCTGAGCTGTCAGATTAAATCCTCCTCCGGACACGTCTCCTCGCCACATGTGACAAACACTGTGCGTCGGTGTTTGCGGCTGATTGTTGGCGACCTGCATGTGTGGAAACGAGGCGTCGAGCTGTGATTCTCCCCCCCGCAGCTGTGCTGGCTGAAGATCTGTCGCAGCAAAACACGAGTCGGGATGTTTCTCTCTGCTCACCTTCATGTTCGGATGCTGACGGTCCCAGTAATCCCAGTACAGAAACGTCCTCGGGGTGTTTTTATATCCCTCGTGTGTGTCGCCTGAAAAGTTTCCTCCAAAGTAACAGAAAGCAGGAGGAAGTGACACGAGCAGACTGCGAGCGTTGTTGTGTAACAGCCAGAATGTCCTGGAGCGTGTTTCTTATTGGGATTACAGGGATTTAAGTGGTACCTGAACGCATCGCGGCTGAGTGCTTCCTTCAGGGCACGGAGGCTTTTACACAACATTTCCTCCCTCTCCATCAAACTGCAGCAGGAAACAGAATAAATCATTAACTCACCGCCACGCCCTGACCTGCAGCCCGTACAGACGCACTCGCAGTGCATTATGGGAGTTACCAGCGGGCGGGAGCAGATTGTTTTGGCTTCTGTTTACGTGCAGCGGCTGTTTTCGGGCCCTGATGTGTTCAATGTGCAGGTTGGAGTTTGTCTTCGCTCTGTGGGAAGTAGATTAGCGACCATTAGCCTCTTTGCTGGCGGCGGCTTCTTAACCGGACTCATTACCGCGCCGGAGCCTCATTGCTTCTGCCGCCGTCAGCTGATCGGGCAGCTCGCTGTGTTTCCAGCCAATTAAAAAGCCTCTGGCTCAGCAGTAATTACCCCCACTGCAGGAAAAGTGACCCACTGTTTGGAAAATACAGAAACTGTAAATTCAGACGCTGCAGGAGGAGACAAACATCACCTGGCCTCGCCTTCAGCTGACAGGAAGTTACTTCACAGAGAGTTCATGATTGTGTACTCGCTCATCTTTCCCCCCTTTATCTCTCCTCCTCCTCCTCCTCAGACCTGGACGACCCGGTGATAACGGTGCATCAGAGCGTCGGCGAGGCGAAGGAGCACTTCTACTTTGAGAGGACGGTGTTTCTCCGCTGCGTCGCCAACTCCAACCCACCCGTTCACTACACCTGGAGGAGAGGCCGGGAGGCGCTGACGCAAGGCTCCGACTCCGGGGTGGAGATCTACGAACCGTTTTTCACCCAGGTGAAGAAACACACCTCCCAGTTTCTTAGTATTATGAACCCAGGGCCTGTTTTCATCAAGTGTCACAGCCGAGCTTTTTATATAAATGAACAGTTTAATGGTCAGAACCCTCGGGGCAGGACCGTCAGACCGCCCGCTCACACATTTCTGCATTTAAGATTTCATGAAAATAGTATGCAGAACAGTAAATAACTTACGCACCTCTATAGCGAGACACAGAAAAAACTCCCGCTCACTGTCTAACTTACAATGGTGTTACATAGAGAGACGCCGTCTTTTGTAGGAGGTGACTTATTTGTCTACACCAGTCACCTACTTCCTCATAAAATACAGCCATTGCAAAACATTCATTCATATTTCCATGGGATGAATGTAGATTTCTGTATCCATGTACATCAAAACAATAAAATGCTCTCGCAAATCTTACTGGTGCCTTATATAACCTAACTCAAATAAACATGGAGGAAAAAAACTAATACACATGACATATATGACCCAAAAAACAACAATCTCCATCCATCCGTCAACAACCACTTATCCTGCGTACAGGGTCGCGGGGGGGTGGAGCCAATCCCAGCTGACATCGGGCACAAGGCGGGGTACAACCTGGACAGGACGCCAGTCCATCGCAAGAAACAACAATCTCATACTTCAGTAATGTTGATGTAAACTAACAATGAAATTTATAAAATTTCTAGAAAAAAAGGAAATAAAACATCACCATAAATGTGAAAATCTTCACATCATTATAAACGTGCAAGAAATAATTTAGGGTTATTGGTCGGATCTGAAGCAATAAGTTTTACATCCAATCCAAAAGTTAGGATGTTAACAAATAAATCAGACGATGCAAAAGCAATTTCTTCCCTAATTTATGGTCTTGACTGGTCTTGAAATAAAATCCCGAGACCGAGACAAGACCAAGACCATCAAAAAGGGTCTTAAGACTATTAAACAGTTCAGCGGGGAGCTTTGACAAGAATGAATGAATAAAAAAAATGTACAGATGCATATTTGCCACAATATTATTATGATTATTATGGCATTACTACCTGCAGCAGCAACTATCCTGAAGGCTCGTCACAATTAAACGTCCTTGCTGTGCGAACATTATAACGCCGCCGACAGGCAAGCGATCCGTCTCAGGAGAAACCAAAGATGTTTGTGGCAGAGAGCTTCTGTAGCGGCCGTCTGCTTGAAAAGATGAGCTGTCAGGGGAGATTTATGATCGTGTCCTCATTTCAACGCATTTCCTCGTGTATTTATATGTTTCCGGTTCACACGTCAACCGCTGAACTTCCTGTAAATAGTCTGAAAGTCTGAACCAACCAAAAAACGCTTTCACACCAGAACCGAACCGAACCTTGGTTCAGTTTGATCCAGATCCAGACTACCTCTTTTCGTTGGACCAAATTTCGTCTGTTTGGTTTCACACCTGCAATTTTGGTTCGGACCAAAGGAGGCAGGTGTGAAAGGCGCCTTAGAGAACCAGCTACCTAGCAACATATTTCTACATCAAACAGGTTTTACTATATCATAGTATTTATACTTTTAATTAAATACATGCAAATATGCTTTATGTTCAGGTTATTGTTTACCATTTGCACGGTGTGCTTCCACAGGAGCTGCCGTTGTTGTGTGACGTCATTCAGCTGCTACAGTGTAAGGCAGCATAAGTTTATCGTCACACCCCTAATCTGAGCCCTTCAGCAGTAAGTGACGCCCTTAACCATTAGCCAGAAACCCCATCCAAGGGAGGTTAAAATAGCCCGGGGAACTGGACTAGGTCGAAGGTCTTCCAAGAGGCTTCTTCACTTCAGACTTGGCCTCGCGTGACTCCCACGACAGCTGCCAGGAGCACGAACGAGCCAAGAGGCGTCCATCACCTTGATAACGACCCGCCAGAGGTTAAAGAGCCGGGACTCGCTGCCAGCCAGTCAGAGCTGAAGAAGCCTCCCGTATAACCTTCCCCGAATGACCTCCGTCTTTTCTGAACTGTGTTTCAATACCTGAAGCAACATCAGGTGAGATTTATACATTTATACCAAAACGTTTCCCTGGATAAATGGTGGAAACCTTCAGCTGTGTAGAAACATAATGTCAGCAGACGGAGTTCTTGTTACGCAATCAGAAAAAAACATTTCTTCTCTCCAGTTTGTTTCCAAAGCCGTCATCACATGCCCGTGAGATTTGAGCTATTTTCTCATTTTGGCCCGACGCTTCTTCCAGATACAACTTGAGTACCTTCTTTGGCTTTTATATTTCCACAAACACATTTCTGCAGCAGTGTAAGTGTCCAAATCGCACCTGCCAGAGAGACAGAAACTCGTCTGATGCTTTCTGCTTTGTGTCTGAGTGACGCCTCGCTCTGAAGCGTTGAAGTCTTTCAGTCCCGGTTTAACTCTCAGTGTGATGAGGACTTCGAGGTGCTTCTTTAATTCGGGCGCTGGTCCATCAGCTGTGGCCAAAAATAGTTAGAAAGTTTGATTTATGTCCAAAACCCGTCGACAGGTTTACTTCCATTTGGTGTTATTAAATCCTCAGATGTCTGAAATGAATTTATTTTATGAGCCAGGAGGCAGACGGACAGAAGGGCGGATGAATAACAACGATTTAACTTTACTTCTTTTTGTTGAGCGGAACAATTTTAATATACTTAATTTGATGTAGATCTAGATGTGACTGCGTCCTCATCGTGTGGAATTTCAGGGCGACGATCTTTTTTCTTTATTCGTCATGGAAAATGTCAGTTTTTCCATCACACACAGTGTAAACAGCAGTCCTTACTGAGTGCAGATTACATCTATCTGCGATCTTTATAGCTAAAATGAAGTCCATTATTATATAATGTTTTTTATGTCATGTTAATCTCAAAAAAGTGAGTAGACCCCTCACGTTTTGCAACCTGTGAAGCTCTGCTGAACTCCAGGCCCAAGAGGGTTAAGGCAGCGCTGGAACACAGAATATTGACACTTTGGGCCAATTTGGACATTTTCTCTTAGGGGTGTCCTCACTTTGTTGCCAGCGGTTTAGATATTAACGGCTGTGTGATGTGTTATTTTGAGGGGACAGCAGATTTACACTGTTATACAAGCTGCACGCTCACTCAAGCTGTATGCTCGCTACTTTACACTGGAGCAAAGCGTCATTTCTTCAGTGTCGTCACATGAAGAGATATAATCAGATATTTACAGAAATGTGAGGGGTGGACTAGAGATTGTATTTAAGCTCAATTATTGAAAAGTAACAATAAAAGAGATATTTTAAGAGCAAAGAGAGGAAAAACACTCCCTGTGGTTTTTATAACTTTAGTTACAGACATGTGGAAACGACGGCTGAACAATTAATCAAAATCTTATCAAAATTGCAAAATGGCCTGCTGTAATTTTCTAATCACAGGAGGGGCAGTATTAATTAAATATTAGTTAGTTAGCAAAATGTGACTGACCTCAAATTCTACAGACCTAAGAAAACATTTGTGTTTGGTACATTTTGCGTTTGTGCTGATTTACAGCAGACTAACTGGACAGAGCTGCTGCTTCCTGTTAGCTTGATCCCAGACTGTGGACACTTGGTCTTTCTCTCTCTCTCTCTCTTTCTCCCTCGCTATTTTCTCTTTCTTCCTTCTCTTTGCAAACAGCGCCACCAACTCTCGAGCGTTGTGCGACGGTACGAATCGTCCGTGGGAAACAGTGCGCTGCATGTAGATATATGTATTAAATCAGTCAACTCGACGTGGCCCTCAGGGATTATATCTAATTCCTAATTTTTATCATTTCAAGTTTTCAATTCAACTTTATTTATTTAGCGCCAAATCACAACAACAGTTATCTCACAGCGCTTTTCAAAGAGCAGGTCTAGACCGTACTCTGTGATGTTATTTACAGAAGCCCAACAGTTCCCACCAAGAGCAGCACTAGGCTCACAAAATATTTAAAAAGAAATAAAAAACTCTATATATCGATGTCACAATGTGTATCTACGTTAACTAATCCTCAGTTTCACTGCTCATGCCTGAGCACCAGTGATGGCTAACAAATACATAAAATATGAAATGATTGAGTTGGCTCTCAGCTAGCTAACATCACATAGCTCATTTAAATGCAAATTACAAAAGGCAAGGCAACTTTATTTGTACAGCACATTTCAACAACAAGGCAATTCAAAGTGATTTACATCAAAGATAAAAGCAACACATGTATGTATTTATTATTATATTATTTTAAAAAGGGTGAAATAGAAAATAAAACCAGGCTGAGGGGTTAATGAGCAAATACTTCAGTTACAATTATTTTTTGTCTCTGAAAAGAGAATAAACAGAAGGATCTACTCTCTCTAGCTGGTCTGGACTCGGGTCCATAGACATATTTGGGTCCACTGAGTTTGGTCATGTCTGAGGCTTCGCTCTGCAAACCCAACTTATCAGCTGGAAACCCCGAAAACCCTCGGACACCACAGAGAAACCAGGACACGTCCCGTCCGCGGGCCACTTTGATCCAGTTACACTCTGGACCCACTTGGTCCTGCAGATCAGTCAGGCCACCTCCTTCACTCTGTTCAGTCTCACTCTGAAGGTAGGAAAGTTGAGTGTATAGCTAACTGCTGACATGCGTGCATGGTGGTCTGGACTGGAGCAGCAGCGTTCAACTGACATCAAGGTTAGGAAATGGTGCGGCCCATTTTAGGGCTGTCAGAAATGGTATTTCAAGATTATTAAATATATGGCACGAGTATGGGAAATATATTGTAATATTTACAGTGACGGGCAGGTTCCTTCTTATATCAGGTTTTATTTCAACTGCACAGGCCGCCAGAATAAAACCACTTCTCCCATTCTCAGTCCAAGATATGGGATCTCTCCGTCCTCAGGACTTAACGTTAAACGTTAAAGATGGATCTTTATTTTTTCACATGAAAAAGTTGTTTAGTTTTAATCTGAACTAACTAAACTAAAGTTTTGGAGAAACTCCAGTTCAAGAACTTTTGCCTCTGTATTTGTTTTTATGTCTTACAGAAACTCGACCTGCTGCTTCTTTCTGCTCTTCTGTAAATGTAAATATTTCTATGTCAGCGAGTTCAACAGCAGTTCATCCTGTACTCTTAAATCCTCCTCCTCGTCCTCCTGTGGATTAAAATCCTCTGCAGATGAAGAGTCCAGATTTTTTTTGTCTTTTGGCCGTGGCGGCCAGTTAGCGGGCCGTGTAATACCGCAGCAAAGATAACATTCACGCCAGATTTGAACGCTGTCGACTGTAATGCCTTCAGCGCAGAGATTCTGAACTTGTTAACCCCCCCCCCTCGCTCCTCGTAGGCCCTAATGAGGAACTTATCTCCTCCTCCTCCTCATCTGCCAAGAAATTGGGCGCCATCTTTGCACAAACATCCTATTTAAATGTCATCTAATCTCATCTCATCTGTCCGTGAGGCGGAAGGCAGCGCCGAGGCTGCCAGAGAAGATAAGAGAGATCTGGCAGCGAGGTGGAGACAGGAGGAGGAGGAGGAGGAGGAGGAGGAGGAGGAGGAGGAGGAGGAGGACGGGGGAAAGGGGGTGAAGATGAAGAGGAGGAGGAGCTCAGGCCGCCACAGAGCTGTTAATCTGCTGAATATCGAAGATGATCTTGGGTTTTAAAAGCATCAAAAACTAAGTGAGGTTTTGTATTGTGTTCGCCCCGAGGTGCAAATCATAACAGCTGAGTCACAAAATGAGAATGAATGAAATATACACTGAGAGCAGGAAACTTAAAATGAAGTCATAATGAATAAAGATCACAGTGCATGAGATGTAGCTCAGCTGATGACGATGCTGGTGTTGTTGGTTTGCAGAGAGCGAACAGGAGGAGTGAAAACTGCAGGATCTAGTTTGTGTCCCAGTTAGACCGATGATAATCTGAGCTCGGGGCAAAACAGAAAAATCTCCTCAGAAACTTCTCTGAAGAGTTTAAACACAGAGGCAACACTTTTATTTTTAATCGGCCAGACGTTTGTCCAGCTGTAAGAGACGGATTCAGTGTGAAAGATGCAGATTTTCAGGTTAAACCGTCGTAGGAGGACGTTTCTGCACTGTGAGGACGTTTTGGCAGGTTTTAGATTCAGGCTGTACTGTTCAGGGGGCCACGTTTTCAGAAAGTTAGGGCCTGTTAACAGCATTAAGTAAAAACACCTGACACAATGAGCAAACATTTGACATTTTCTAAACTTTTCGCTGTAATTGTAAAAGAAAATAAAAGGTCTTCTGTAATATTATATATACAACGTATATATAACAATAATATAATATACATATTATGTAGTATACAACAGCGCTTCGGTAGCCGGTCAAAAGACTGTGGTCCACCGCTGGAATCTACGCAGATTACAGATTACATTGTTTGTAAATTCTTTTCGACTCAGTAATAAACAGAGTCCGTCTCTGTAGGACTTGGGATTTTATTTCAAGACCAGAACTTTGGGGACATCAATAAATTGCTTTTGTCTGATTTATTTAACATCCGAACTTTGATTGGATGTAAAACTTATTGCTTCAAATGCAACCGATAACCCTGATTAAAATGTGTTGTTCCCGTTAACAACTGACAACAACAATTGTTACTTTTAAAATGAGTAATAAGTAAAAAGTTAGTCATTACAATTCCTGAGTGATTTGCATAAATAAATAAAACACTGCAGCGTGATATGCCGTATAAACTGATACGCCACGAAGACACAGCGCGTTTCCGCCCCTGGTTGCATCTCGTGATGATGTTTGCACAGAAACCCGTCTGTTAGGCCGTGAGCTTCATTTAATTTTATAATAACACAAGCGGTGATTATCTGACATATTTGGAGCAGATCTATTCTGCAACACATCAGGGGACGGGGATTCAGACGCCTACGATGTGATTACAAAAGGATCTTTTACTTCTATACAGAATTAGTAGTAATGACATGCGGCTGACGTAACTTCCTGTCAATACAAACGACACAAAGCAGCCAAAAAAGTTAGTTTTCCTGCTAAGTATCCGGACCGGAGTCTGAAGCCCAGGGTAGATGTTAGCCAGGGCCGATGTTAGCCAGGGGTAGATGTTAGCCAGGGGTAGATGTTAGCCAGGGTAGATGTTAGCCAGGGGTAGATGTTAGCCAGGGGCAGATGTTAGCCAGGGGTAGATGTTAGCCAGGGGTAGATGTTAGCCAGGGTAGATGTTAGCCAGGGGTAGATGTTAGCCAGGGGCAGATGTTAGCCAGGGGTAGATGTTAGCCAGGGGCAGATGTTAGCCAGGGTAGATGTTAACCAGGGGTAGATGTTAGCCAGGGTAGATGTTAACCAGGGGTAGATGTTAGCCAGGGTAGATGTTAGCCAGGGGTAGATGTTAGCCAGGGGCAGATGTTAGCCAGGGCCGATGTTAGCCAGGGTAGATGTTAACCAGGGGTAGATGTTAGCCAGGGGTAGATGTTAGCCAGGGGTAGATGTTAACCAGGGGTAGATGTTAGCCAGGGTAGATGTTAGCCAGGGGTAGATGTTAGCCAGGGGCAGATGTTAGCCAGGGCCGATGTTAGCCAGGGCAGATGTTAGCCAGGGGTGATGTTAGCCAGGGCAGATGTTAGCCAGGGGCAGATGTTAGCCAGGGTAGATGTTAGCCAGGGGCCGATGTTAGCCAGGGTAGATGTTAGCCAGGGTAGATGTTAGCCAGGGGCAGATGTTAGCCAGGGGCAGATGTTAGCCAGGGCCAATGTTAGCCAGGGGCCGATGTTAGCCAGGGGCCGATGTTAGCCAGGGCCGATGTTAGCCAGGGCCGATGTTAGCCAGGGTAGATGTTAGCCAGGGGCAGATGTTAGCCAGGGGCAGATGTTAGCCAGGGGCAGATGTTAGCCAGGGTAGATGTTAGCCAGGGGCAGATGTTAGCCAGGGGCAGATGTTAGCCAGGGTAGATGTTAGCCAGGGGCAGATGTTAGCCAGGGGCAGATGTTAGCCAGGGTAGATGTTAGCCAGGGGTAGATGTTAGCCAGGGTAGATGTTAGCCAGGGGCAGATGTTAGCCAGGGCAGATGTTAGCCAGGGGCAGACGGACCTTTATTACCGGACACACTGTAAATTTCCTTTATTTAGTAAATGGTGAACAGGCCTGTGTCGGGGCGTCGCTGAGGGTCCTCACGGGTTATAAAACTGGTGTGTGTGTTTGCTGCAGGGTGAGACGAAGATCCTGAAGCTGAAGAACCTTCGTCCTCAGGATTACGCCGACTACACCTGCATCGCCTCCGTAAGGAACGTCTGCGGCATCGGAGACAAGACCGCCCACTTCCGCCTGAACAACAGGACAGGTAACACACACACACACACACACACACACACACACACACACACACACACACACACACACACACACACACACACACTCTCTCTCTCAAGCAGAGTTTTTCTACATCCAGAGAACTTCTATGAAAACCAAACCAGGCGTCTGAGTAGAGCTGCAATTATTAATCTAATAATCGATTAGTTGTCGCCAGCTAAGATTTCTGAATATCTTGGTTTGGTGTCGTTCTGTGTTTCTTGTTCCCTGTTTTACTTTGTAGTTGTGTCCTGGTCTTGTTTTACTTCCGGTGTTTGTTTCCTCGCTGATGGTCGACTGCTTTCACCTGTGGTCGTGATGTCCTCCTTCACTCTGGATTTCGTATCGCCCTTGTTTCTTGTCTTATGTTTATCGGGACGATATCCCGTTATTCTCCAATGTGTGCTTGGACTTTTGCACGTACTCAGTACTTCTTACCAGTCGTGTTTCCATCCAATTGTCATGCAAATTTTAAGCGTACTTTTGAAATGTCACAAAAAAGAGAAAATATAGAAACTGTGAAATCTGCGCGTTTCCATCAGCTGGTTTGGAGTGAATAAACCAGGCTACGGCGAGCGTCGTTACGTCAGTAGTTTACGTTACGTCTGGGTTCCAAACAAGAAACAAAACCAGTCGCATGAACCTGAGGGCCACTGATCTTACAAAAATGGAGAGAGGTCCAGAGAGCTGCAGTAAATTCTCGGCGGGCGTGCAGAACTCCGCACAACCGGGTGAGACGCCGACAGCAGAAACAGCTGATCAGACGTAAGTTACAAGTTCGCTACGTCAGAACCTACGCGGAAAAAGTGTTTCCAGCTCCCGTTTAGCGTGAGCTTTTTCCACAAAAAACACCTCAAGCGAGCGAAAAAACTGTTTTGTGAAATTAATGATTTGTTTTTTGAATTTTGCCGTTTTCATCGACCTTTTCTGACGCGACGCTTCAAAATGCGCATTAAAAAACGTTGATGGAATCACGGCTTCTGTTTCACGGATGGATTTACTGTTTTGCTCTGGCTTTGACTTTGAGACTCGATACTTTGAGACCTCGATACTTCGATACTTCGAGACCTCGATACTTTGAGACCTCGATACTTTGAGACCTCAATACTTTGAGACCTCGATACTTCGAGACTTTGAGACTCGATACTTTGAGACCTCGATACTTCGAGACTTTGAGACCTCGATACTTTGAGACTTCGATACTTCGAGACTTTGAGACCTCGATACTTTGAGACCTCGATACTTCGATACTTCGAGACCTCGATACTTCGAGACCTCAATACTTTGAGACCTCAATACTTTGAGACCTCGATACTTCGATACTTTGAGACCTCGACTTTGAGACTTCGAAGTTGTTGTTTTTATTCCTCTGTCTTTAGTTTTTATAATGTCATTCATTATTAATTAGATATATTTTATTGTTTATATGTGAACTTGTGCTCTGGCAAGAGAGAGAGATCTCATCTCATCTCATGGAATCAAGTTTCTGCCACTACATATCAAAGTTTCCTCCCCGCTAGAGGACGAGCTGTCCAGGCAGCAACTATCACAATAGAAAGTGAACTCTGTCGCGCGTGTCTTTATTCTCCTGCAGCAAAGTCGCAGGCATCAGCCCAAGGATCGGTACGTGATGTCACCGTCACAGGAAGCGCTTCTACCGGCTCACACAGGTCGTCACTTACTGATCCTTCAGAAATGCTTGGGGAAACGTAGCGTGTGCGGACGCTACTCGGTCAATAAAAGAGCTTTGATTTGATTCAGAAAACAGCGACGCCACTGCCAACACAGCTCGTTGTGTTGAAGCAGGCTCGGCGGCAGGAGGGCGCTGAGACGATGACCGGCTCTGTCTTCTTGCAGTCAAAGACGGAGCAACTTTCTGCTCTTAAGTTTATTCCATGCACAGTCAACGGCTTCACCGGGTTTGTCGTGTCGCCGGTCTTTTCTCTTACGTTGCAAATATTGTTGCATCAAGCCCCGTCTCTGTGCGGAACCGGCGTGAACTAGCGTTTACATCACCACAGCCAATTGCAATCACTTTTAGATTTGGGCACATCAAGCACGCTGCATGCTTATTGGCTCATTGACGTTAACAAGAACGTGAACTCGATACCCAGCGCTAGTTTAGGTTGCAGTCAAACAGTGTTCCTAAGTACTTCTACGTCTTTTCAACAACTCCATGAATGATGCTGGCTGCTGGGTTAAAACTGATCCAGGATCTGCTCAGCATGCAGAACCCACGGGGGTGACGTATCTGCTGGAGATAGTTCAGTTTAGTTTCTTTACCTTCTACCAGCTTCTTTAAAGTCTGTTAAAGATAAAAAAAATGCCCGGCGCTTTATCTTCTTCCCTGCCAGTCAAACTCTCATCTGACAGAAACCAGCTTTGCGTCGAGTCCTTGCCCTCTCTCTGATTGGCTAATCCTAACCCTACCCTGAACCAAGAGAGGCAACGAGTACCAACCAATAAGAGGCAGAGTTCAAACTTTGACCTTGAATCCTACTCAGATTCTGAAGATCTGCGTGGATCTTACAGTACTCTCTGATTCTGTACCTGCGCGTGTTCGGTTGGATGAACGTGAATCATAAATAAATAATTTCCCTCTCTGAGCTCGGGCTGCGGCGCTCTGTGACCTGTACAGTAGATCCTGCCTCCCCGCCCCAGGGGCTGATGGGATTTACATGATGTCAGCTTAACAGAGGTCGACTCTGCTATTTTTATCCGCCTCATTATTATTTCTGCATTTGGCTGCTTCTCTGCAGCTCGTCGTGTGCAGCTGGCCGAGGCAGCTTTTCTTCTCTGCAGCAGGAGGGAGAGCGCCGTGGATTATTTACACGTTTAAGTCTTATGAAAACCCCTCTGATCCGCCTGTTTAAGATCTGACCAACAACAGAAACTTCCAGAAACTGTTTTAATCTCTTTCACAGAAAACTCAGTTAAAAAATAATCCAGCACTGTACCAAGATTAAAATAATGAATCCTGTTCATGATTTGATCCAAATATCCCAGAGCATTAAACGTGAAGAGGACTGGAGGACATTAAATCAGAGTTTGTTAATTAATTCATCAGTTAATCAGCAACGATTCTGATCATCTTTTAATCTTTTAGACGTCATGTTGGAGAAACTGAAGGACTTTATTCCCAACTGCTTTAAGAAAAGAATCCACATATTAATAATCAGCTGCGGCCGTACTCCTTTTAAAAAAGTTGTAAAATGTATTTTTGATGATGAGCTTCCTTTGGGGCTGAAGTTCTGTTGACTTGGGGAGTTTCATGTAACTTGAGGAGGGACAAATAAAGTTTTATTCACATGAGTTGCTCCGTTTAGAGGAAGCCTCAGCTCTCAGCCGACAGTCTGGATTATTATTTAGCTCAAAAATTAATATTTGCAATAAAAGAGAGAGTCTGGGACTCGTTCGTAGACCGGAGACGCAGAGCATCTGCAGAAAGTTGCTCATTTCATTCAGTTTGTTGTTTCATTTTCTTTTTTGTTTTACGTATTTGTTGTTTTTAATCTTTATGGTTTTGTATTGAAAAAAATTTAATCAAAATCATGAATGAAAAAATGATGAACGTTAACAGTGAAATGAAGAAATTGACATTTTCTCCTCCTCCTCCTCCCCCTCCAGCTCCTCCCTCCATTAAGCTCCTCCTGGACGACCCCCTCGTGGTGAACCCGGGGGAGACGATCACTCTGGTGTGCGTGGCGTCGGGCGGAGACCCTCAGCCCACCCTGAGCTGGGTGAGACCGGGAGGGGAGGAGCTACCGAAGAGGAGCGTTGTCAGCAGGGGCACGCTGACCATCCCCGTCGTCACCGTGGACGACGGTGGCGCCTACAGCTGCGTGGCGTCCAACAGCGTGGGCAACCCTGCCAAGAAATCCACCACCATACTTGTCAGAGGTGCGACACTCATGATTAATCCTAAACCTACATTTTAAAGGTTTACCATGTGGGGATCGGCTTTTAGGGCTTTTAGAACCTGATCCAAGTTGGAACCGGTACCAAATATCAAAGAATACGACCGTTTGGATTCTGCTCCTCGGTTCCTAACTTCCTGCATATCTCAGCTCCTGACTGAACTGCAGTGAGAATTTTCCAATCTGCCAGGAGCTGCTACGCCGACCTGACATCACCTCATGTGTTACGTCAGCAAAGCCTGAAGAGAGAGTCCTTCAAATTAAAACATGAATTTGATCTATCATGCAAATAAGCATATAGAAATATGTGCAATTATAAGTGGAGATAATTCACAATGTACTGAAACAGCAGGATATTAAAATACAGGGGGCAGATCACGATGAATGCACTGCTGCAGTACTGTGAGTTGTGCCCTGTCAAACGGTTCTTGATTGACAGAAGCTGAACACACAGTAAAAGAGGATCTGACGGAGGCTTGTCTCACGTGGTCTCCTTGTTTACAAAGCTAATAATAATAATAATAATAATAATAATAAATTTTATTTATAATGCACTTTACATTTCAGGGAAATCTCAAAGTGCTAAAGCTGGACCAGACGGAGCTTCATTTTATATGAGAAGTAATATCTGACTCTGCCTGTACTGTCATGAACTCGTGTCTTGCTTCTGCACTTCTGAGACTTCGTTCAAGTCAGAGATGCTCACAAGTCTCTGAGCTAGAGTCCAAGTCAAGTCTCGAGTCTCTGAGCTAGAGTCCAAGTCAAGTCTCGAGTCTCTGAGCTAGAGTCCAAGTCAAGTCTCAAGTCACTGAGCTAGAGTCCAAGTCAAGTCTCAAGTCACTGAACTAGAGTCCAAGTCAAGTCTCAAGTCACTGAGCTAGAGTCCAAGTCAAGTCACAAGTCTCTGAGCTAGAGTCCAAGTCAAGTCACAAGTCACTGCGCTAGAATCCAAGTCTCAAGTCACTGAGCTAGAGTCCAAGTCAAGTCTCAAGTCACTGAGCTAGAGTCCAAGTCAAGTCTCAAGTCTCTGAGCTAGAGTCCAAGTCAAGTCACAAGTCACTGCGCTAGAATCCAAGTCTCAAGTCACTGAGCTAGAGTCCAAGTCAAGTCTCAAGTCACTGAGCTAGAGTCCAAGTCTCAAGTCTCAAGTCACTGAGCTAGAGTCCAAGTCAAGTCTCAAGTCTCTGAGCTAGAGTCCAAGTCTCAAGTCTCAAGTCACTGAGCTAGAGTCCAAGTCTCAAGTCTCAAGTCACTGAGCTAGAGTCCAAGTCTCAAGTCACTGAGCTAGAGTCCAAGTCAAGTTTCAAGTCACTGAGCTAGAGTCCAAGTCAAGTTTCAAGTCACTGAGCTAGAGTCCAAGTCTCAAGTCTCAAGTCACTGAGCTAGAGTCCAAGTCAAGTCACAAGTCTCTCAAGACTCTCAAACCAGGGTAACATTATAACAATAAAATTGTAACGTTACATGATCAACAATAAACCTGTGACCTGTTTGAGGCCGACGTTAATAATTAACGTGACGGCAGCCAGCGGGACGTAAATGATTACGTTAATCGTCCACCACAAGTTTGACAGTTAGATGGCCGATGCTGAGCTAAACATGTTCACTGACCTCAGGTTACTGACCTATTTAGCGTTCAGCGCTTCTTTGTTTGGGTCTTGTTGTATGAAGTTTTAAAGCCAAAGTTTATGATGAACGGCTCAGCAGCTGCCGCTGTTTGTTGTCCTCTCACACGTGCGGCCGCGCGCAGCAGATGCTACGTGTTACGTAGACAGGTTATAGGTAACGCGAGGGGGGGGATAACCGCACGCTCATCAAACGTTTCCTAAAAACGAGTCTGAAGTTAATGGAAAGATCGGCGGTTCAATCCCCGGCTCCTCCAGGCTGCATGTCGAGATACTGAACTCCAAATTGCCTCTGGTGTATGAATGTGAGTGAATGGTGAATGAGATGTAGTGTAAAAGCGCTCTGAGTGGTTGCAAAGAGTAGAAAGGCGCTATACAAATACGGAGCATTTACATTGAAGTCGGACTCAAGTCCGAGTCTCTAACTCGAGTCTCTGCCGGTAGCAAAGAGCGGAGGAGAGAATCAGTGGCTGTTAAAAACCCGGATATTTACAGTTATTTCCATTTTACTGTCAAATCCTGCAATTCTGTCCGAGTTTTCTGCATCACAGGAATGACCCTCTACCCGGCAGCCCTCGTTACGATACACCTCTCACCACGTTGTCACTCTGGTCCTGCTCATCTAGGCTGCTCTTCCTCTCTGCTTCTTCATCTGCATGATGCTCAAACGAAGTGAAACAGATTCATGTTGTTCCTCTGGGACTTAGCTGCAGCTCAGACGGCCGTCTACCTGTTGAAAGGTGCTTCCTCTGCTTTGTGTTTCTGCCTGTGGAGTTCTAACAAGTGAGTCCTCAGCTTTGCTCTCTGCAGTCACAAAGGCACATTCGTGTCTTTTTATTGTTGTTGTGAACGAACAAGCTGCTGCAGAACAGACCAGAATAGATCCGACTCACCCGCAACAAACGGAGCGTTTATCTGCGGCGCTGCAGAGACGTTAAGCTCTCAGATTATTTCAGTCTTTATAAATCCTCCTCCTCCTCCTCTGCTGCGGGTCGGCGTTTTCCTGCAGCGTCACGATGAAGCGTCCTGAACATCCTCAGCACTTCATTTAAACAGCAGGGTTTATAAACACTAGAGATATTCGTTACCACAGAAAGTAGTAAAACACGCTTTAATTAACTTTAAAACTGTATTTATTTCCTCAAGAAGTGGAGCAGCCAAACTTATAAAGGTGTGATCCTGCTGAAGGGAGCTATCTAAACTCCTTTATTTGTGATTAGACCATTGATCAGAAGAGGATTTTCAGATCTTAACCGATGTTAAAAACGCGGGATCCCACAGATGAACCAATCCTTAATATTTTAATCTTAAGAACGCACTCGGTCCAGTCTCAGAACACTCACTCTGCGTTTACACCAAACGCTTTCAGAGCGGCGGGCTTGGGATCTCACAGAATCTCGTGTGATCAAACGTGACTTCAGACAGAAACCAACGTGGAGGCGGACTGCCGTCGTCAGCTGGTCGACCTTGTGTGTGTGAATCCAACTGTGGATGAAGTCGAGGCCGAGACGAGGGAATCGGCAGGTTTCTACGTTTTTATAAATACCCAACACGCCGGGGACGCCTCCTGCTCAGCTCGCTCTCATTGGCTGCTGCAGGTTTCTTACTTTTAAGATCATGTCTGTAAACCCTTCACACTACAGGATTGCGGCTCCTCATAGTTTCCTGTTGCCGACTGTACACGAGCTACACTATTACACCCTGTTGGCGTCGCCATGTTTATATGTCACCATTTTTAAGGTAAAAAGCAGGCGGATTACTGTGAATGTTTTTAATTAAAAATCAATATTAATTGCAGTGTGTGCATGACGCAGAGGCGTTTTTTTGATAGTCTGCTCTCACATCGTTAAAACGACAATTAACCTGTTGGGGACAGCCGCCCTTTTCCAGGAAAAACGCCCAAAATAAATCAGGAATATCTTCTGAACCATCAGGCCTAGATGCGTAATTCTGGTTCCTTTGAAAGGTCAGAAGCTAAGGAATATAAATCCATTGTACATTAACATATTTATTTTACCATTACATGGAGATGCAATAAATAAAAAATCCTCGCCTGGTAAAAAAAGCTCTATTTTAATGCAATAAACCATCAAAACCATCATAAGGAAGATTATAAAGCACCTGAACATCTTCTAATCCACCTGAAATACTACTGTAACTGGAAATCTGATGAAAAGAACATTTTCAAAGTATACCAGGCGAATGTTTTATTGGGAGTTCACTTTAAAACACTATTTCTGTCCATATAACCACGTTTCAAATAACACAGCATTGAAGTATTGATAAAAACAGTGAATCAACATTCCTGTCTCCAAAAGCACCCCCCCCCCAACAACGGTGTGTTCCAAAGCGGCACGTTTCCTCTCTGCAGAAAACGGCGAGAGAAGGCAGGCACAGCGCACAGGTATTGCGCAATAATCAAGATGGCGCGCGCCGACACTCGGAGCAACAAATCTGCTGATTTTTAGACTTTTTTGAGCTCAATTAAGATATTATCATGGACGACGCGTCTCGCACGCCCCGATTCCAGCAGGCCAAACCACACGCTGTGTTTTGTACATTTCTGTTTGTGTTAATACCGGTGTGTGGGTGTGCCAGGCTAGCCGTTTCCCCCGGCTCCCAGTCTTTATGCTAAGCTAGGCTAACCGCGTCCCGACTGAGACATTCGTCTGAACTCCTGACTCCCTGAACGAGTGAGGATGAAAAGCTTTCTCTAAATGTTGAACTGCCCCTTTAAGAACAGGATGTCATGACCTCAGCATGACTCACCTGTGTGTGTGTGTGTGTGTGTGTGTTAGCTGCTGACCCTGCAGCTTGTCAGCTCGACTCCCTCCTTACTTATTTAACTCCCATCATGCACCTGTCTCTCTCTCTCTCTCTCTCATGTTAGCCAGTAGTCTCTCCACCAGGCAGCCAGTCCTCCCAGTCTGACACACACTGCTGCTAATGGACCCGGTGTGTGCGTGTGCATGCGTGTGTGTGTGTGTTATATGGAGAGGATGCATGTTATTGTAATGGACAGGGGGGGGGGGGGGGGGGTGATGCTGGAGAGAGGGGGAGGAGGGAAGCAGGAATAAAGGAGGAGGAGGTGAGAAACAGAAGAATAGGAGGTGAAGACAGACGAGGATGAGGAGGTGATGAAAAGAAAGGGAGGATGTGGAGGAGGCGACGGAGAGCGAGGAGGATGGATGTTCCCCCGCTCTCTAAATGTGTTTGTCTGTCGTTAGCAGTGATTAGTGACGGCTGACGGGAGCCTGAGCGTTTTCTACTCTCAGCTTTGATCCAGATAATGTGTCAGATTTCACCGTCGCAGGAAACACTGCGACACCTGCAGGCCGAGGCGACAGCAGGGCTGCTCCTA